TATATATATATACTTGTTATATTAAAAAATTGTTTTCTTATTTTATCTAATTTTATCTCTCTAAAAAATTAATTTACTATTAAAAAAAATTTTTGATTGTTTATTCAAGCATAAAGTCTTTGATAAATATCAAAAAACAGTTATAATGTCCAATATACTGCGACAAATTGACTACATTTAATTTTTAATTCTAAAATTCTATCAAAATTGTGTTCATTTCTCGGCAATATTAAGAACCTAGGATAAGTAAATGTAAATATTTGTGCTTGTGCTGTTGTTCTAAGCATGATAGCTCTTGTTATTGGAATTGCTGCGTCTAGTCGAATGATTTTAATTGATTACTTTGTACAATGTATAAGTGCCAGATTTATAAGATTTTAAATAAAACTCATCTTCTCAAAGAACTTTTTGCAATCTTTAATATCCTATAAATCTGGCCTTTGCCTTTCTGCTTCCAGTTATCCTTCATTTCTATGCAATGTTTCATATAATTACTAACATAAATTGAAATGAAGAAATAAATAAAAAAAGTTACATGTAACATTTTACATTAATATAAAAATTATATGTGACTTTGTATGAGATTTTAGATTTGTAGTAAAATTTGAACGCTGATCGCTTTTCTCGCATACGTATATACTCTTCCCCGATTAAATATTTCGTATTAATCATAATCGAATTTCATAGTCATAATCATTTTCATAATTTCAACTGCACACACATTAATTACCTGCACACAGGATACATGCAGCAAAAATGAAGATACCGACGAACTGGACAGCGCGAATCCTTATCGGGTCTTGGTAGAGAAGTATCAGGCCTTGTTGGAGGTGCAGAGACACTGTCAACCTCGTCGCAAGGACGCCACACCCGCGACATGCATGTCGTTACAGGAAGAGTTAGAGATGTCCGGAGAATTTAATAATTTCTATCCTACTGCTTCCGAGGCCGAGGTTGCTGCTGCTCCGGAATCTATCAAGACTGCCTCACGAACCAAACCTGACAGCACCGGCAAGAAACCCTTCTCGGCTACTCCGACAGATTTCTCCGAAGCTGAGACGTCGTCTTCAGGCTTCTCGGACGAGACCAGCAACAAGGCGACGCAGACAGACGGCAGGCCGGGCTCGTTCTTATGTTCCATCGCTGACGGGGAAGACTGCAAGTTCAGCATTTATGATGACAATAGTCCTTTCGAGAGCAGGTTTCGCAAAACGCCCGAGTATCGACAGCTCTTCAGCGAGATCTTCAGCGTTTTGAAACGGGCAGCTGAGGCAAAGGATGAGGGTGAGAAATTACCGTTGCTAGACGAACCTGCTACATCGCAGACAAAATATGACGCGTCGTTTCAAGAAGATTTGCAAAGCGAGGCAACGGACGACAATCAAAGCATCATGTCTTCTGTGGTATCTTCGGTGGTTTCGGAACCGGTCTTCAGGGTACAATCCGCCAGTCCGGCCAATCCGAAGGACAGCAAACAATCTGACAAGTCTAGCAATACCTCTGCGAATCAACAGCCCGCAAAGGACGCAAGCTGCAGACTGGATTACGTGTCTCTTAATTTACGTGTTCGCAAGAAGTCTTCGGCGAAAAAGAACGCTGCTAAGAAAGCACAATGCAACGACCGGTCGACTACACCGGACGTTATTCCCACGACAAATCCGAAATTCGTCCCCGCTAAGCTCAGCGGTCGAAGGAGATTCAAACCGTTCAATCCTGCCGAGCACGAGCACTCCGGTGCGTGGAACAGTCAGCATAATGTATATCCGAATCGATCAAGAGATAAGAAGCTGTACAGTCGTGGCTCGAATGAACAGCAACAGCAGCACAACAATTACGAGTACAAGGATTTCAAACCTAGCACCGCGTCGGAAGAAGTGGCTCGGCTGAAGCGATTAGAGATGTCTTATGCAGAAGTTCTTCGTACGCCTAATAACAAATCCAGAACCAATAATCATCATCATTATCGTAGAAACTAAACGGGATGAATGAACGGACGAAACGAAGTTCGTACAAGATGTAGAGTTTTATATTTGGGTTTCGATTGTATCCTAAAATAGAGATATTACGCGTTGATCACGCATCATTCATTCCATGATGAGATCCAGTATTGTTTTGTACTTTCTTGTAAATATTCAACGACGCGGATACGTTTAGCGGCATGTTTCTATAATATAGGCACTAATTAACGCGTCCGCATTAATTTTAAGTTTGAGCATTTCATATTTCATTGTATATCCCCTTTCCTTCCACGCGGTGAACATACAACGACGAGTATTAACCCCCTGTGGCACTGTCGTTAATCGTTAGTTACGGAGAAGAGAAAAATTTATCCATGTGCCATTTATTCTCCGTGTCAAAATATCAACTTCCGATTTTAAAACTCGCACTACTTTTCGATAACGTATAACTTTCTCCCGGGGAGGTAGTGCATGTCAGCAACAAGCGTGGTGTGTTAGCTTTTGTATTTTATAGGTATGAGTATTGTGATGATGTTGTACGTATAAATAAATAAATTCTTTATCGTATTAAGTCACTCTATCCTTTTTCGCGCTCTATCGAGTAAGATAAGGTGGTGCAATTTTCAATATAGCACAAATCTGAACGAAATAAGATTTGAATCCAATTTTCGAGTTTAAGTTTGATTTTTTTTGGTTGGTGGTTCCTTTCAATATCCTCCACACAATGAGATTAAAGTTGCCAAATTTGCACTTGAATTTGGATGCATATCTTCTTTTTTTTCTTCTTTAAGCTCTTGTATGGTTTTTCAATCATACTTATAAGATTCACAGTACCATACAATAAGATTGATCTACTGATCCAGTGTATGTCTTTTCGGAGACAAAGGCCATACACAATTTACAATTTTTATCACATATCAAGTTTCTATCTTCATGACTTAATTAAGATAGAATATCGCGGATAAGATATATTAATTAAGAGCAATAGTGCTCTTTAAACGAAAATACAATTTTAGTATTTATTCGCAAGGTGTTCTCCTAGAAAGATCACGTATGGGTGGAATCCAAATTCACGGCTCGTAAGTCGATCACCTAGGGCAAGTTGCCACTCGGGCTACCGATTGAAGTCTTATTTCATTCAAAATTGTATCCATATTCGAAATTGTACCATCTTATCTTCTATACGTGATTGTTATAAAACGGATTCTCAGAGAAAATAAATTTTTTCAGTATTTGTTTTTGCGTAAATTTATAATAAGAATCTGAAAAAACTGACTCGTTCAACATATAAACATATACAATGATCTTTGAAATTCGAAACCATGAAAACTACATAATATTAAATTTGAATAAATTACATTTCTGATCGTACGCACGCGTGAATAGTCGCATCGAGACTTCATTTATTTAATCTACATATTTTTAATATAATATCAAAGTTGCTGAAGGAAGTATCATTTTATTTGTATATTAAATGTACAAGAAGCAGCTTGCACCCGATATTTACGTGATTCCATGGCCGTATTATTTTAATTAGTTTTCTCTCTACGTTTTAACACTAGAACGCCTGAATCTTTTCTATTATCTTGAATATTAAAGAATAGTTTGAAACCTCAATATTTTAGATACTTAGATTTTACAACCCAATTTCACAACTCATGATTCTTAACCGAGGTTCATTCTAGAATTGGAAAGAGATAAGAAACAAGTTAGACCTGAGTTAAGAAATTGGATCTTAATACATTATAACTTAATACATTTAAAGTAAGACATAACAATAAAGTTACAATTAAATAGTGCACAAAATATAAGAGACGTTTATCTCTAAAAATAATTTACAAAAATTTTACGAGCGTTCCAGTGTTATTGGTCGTTTAGACCATATACACTACCAAAGATAATAAGTGGTATAAGTTTATTAATACAATTACAGCTGGGAATTGGAGTTGCACACATCGAGTGCGATTTCATCGTTTCTCCTTTCGCTTTCCTAAGAATAATATGCGTAATGTCCATTACACATATACACAAGACATTTCTTTCCTTCATATTAACTTAGTCGTTTTATCAAAATGGATACAGTCGATTAAGAATCGTCAAACAAGGCGCGATGTACCGCTCCTAAACTTGGTTGTACATAACTTGAGCTGATACTACGTCTTGATCTGTAGAGAAGAAAATGCATAGTGAAAAAAAGAAGTTCGTCGGCTGCCTACAAACGACACATTCCAATGCAACTATTTTAAGACTATGAATTAGTTTCTGCAGCCATAATAATTATGACATAAATGTGAGAAATTACACGTAATAATTTCATGTGATTGATTTAAATAAACGAATTTGTGCTGTTTTTGACTTTCATATACCATCACACGATTCAATGTATAGAATAATTTGTAGATATATATATATATATATATACACACACATATACATATATGTATGTATAAATTGTATGTTTAATCCATACAATAGAAAATGTTTGCTACTTACTCCGTAAGAGACCGAACAGCTGGCCCAGTGGGATTATTTTTTGATCGTGGATTAACGAGAAGACATTTCATTGGATGGCCATCTAGTTGTCGATTATGATAAGTCTCAACTGCTTTAGTTGCATCCTTTAATGTTTTGTAAATTACTTCCGCTGTACCTGGACGAACTAGTCTCGATACGAGCAATTCTCCAACATCTTCGAATAATTCCTATACGATGCAAAGATTTTTTTTTTCAATATTTTACAGCAAATGTGAAATCTTTTAGAAACAAGTTCTTTATCTTACTGCACCTTAATATCTTCTTGCGTGACATTGGCTTGCAAGTTGGATACTACAATTCGATAGCCATTCGATTGCGCCGATGAACTGGAACTTGCTTTTGGCCGCGATAAAACGCTCAATGTTCTTGTCTTATTGCCAGAAGCATCAAGACGTGATTTAATTCCTACCTCTCGAAGATTTCTGGAATCATAGTACTTGGAATCTGCTGTTTCCTCTGCTACAATTGTTCTATAATCAAAATCATTCAAAATAGTAGGTTTTTCAATCAGTTAATGTTTTAATTTTTCTGTAAGATACTTACCTTGATTTTGTGCCAAAATTCCAATCTTCTTTATAAGAAGGTGAAGTAGTTTTTACCTATATATATAAAGAAAAAATAATAAAAATTAAATTGAACGGCAATTGTACAAATTTCACACAAAAGAGAATGACATTATTTACCATCGCGGAGCGTGTAGTGAGTTTATTGTAATCTCTTTGCCTCTCTCGTTCCTTTTCTATCTCAGATTTTCGAGCTGGAATCCTAGTAACATTAGTGTTTCTAGATTTCACCCAAGTATAAGGAGAAATCGGATTAATATTGAATACAGGAGGTGGAGGTGGAGGTGTTGGTGCATACTCGTTACTCACAGTCCTCCTCAATGAAGGGGAATCCGTCAGATAATCTAAAAGAATAAGTTATAATATATAAATATTTTTTTAACGTATTAGGTGTATAACTTTGCTTCCGCCGTTTTTTTCCGAAATTCCAGGCTTTATTGTAAAAAACTGGTTATACATTTATAATTCAAAGTATGGTCCATCGCTGGCCACTACTTTCTCCCATCTTTCGGGTAGCGTACGAATCCCGAGTCGAAAAAATTGGTCATCTTTTGAGGCTATCCACGAGTCGATCCAATTTTTTACTTCTTCATAAGACCGGAAGTGCTGGTTAGCCAGGCCATTGAAACAAGTGATAGAGGGAGCAACGTCTGAAGAATACGGCGGGTGGGGACTTCCCATTTCAACGTTTCCAAGTATGTCTTGACCACTTTCGCAACATGGGGTCGAGCATTGTCATGCTGCAAAATCACTTTATCGTGTTTCTCGTTGTATTGCGGCCGTTCGTTTTTCAATGCTCGGCTCAAACGCATCAATTGCGTTCGATACCGATCTCCTGTGATTGTTTCAGTCGGTTTTAACAGTTTATAATACACTACGCCGAGCTGGTCCTACCAAATACAGAGCATGACCTTGGACGTCAAAATCATCGTTCTTGAAGCGTTGAAACCACTCACATGTTCTTTCACTAATAGCGGCCTCACCATAAGTATTTGAGAGCATTCGATGAGCCTCAGCCGCAGATTTCTTCATATTGAAGCAAAAAATTAAAACCTCCCGCAAATGACGAGAATTTGGCTCGTAAACTGACATTTTCAATCGAGAATAACTTTATGATGCAGACACAAATCGACTAATGTTTCTATGAGGTTATGTTGACAGATGCCCAAGTTTATTGTATGACGTCTATGATCTATTTATTTCGACCACCACTTATCGCTAAAGCCGTCTATAGGAAAACGGCGGAAGCAAAGTTGTACACCTAATATTATTTCAATAATTTTCAATAAAATATTTTAAAATATATCTTAAAATATTATAAAATATATTAATAACAAGAGAAAATACAAGTTTATTATCTCTAAAAAGACATACAAGATCAAAGGTCAAAATAAATCAAGTTCAAATAAGACCAAAGTAAATAAAGTTAAAAAAAATTAAGATGATATATTCATAAATAAATTCAAACTAAACATAACTGTATTTCAAAAACAATGATATAAACATATTGCTATAATAATAATACAATTCAGAAAATAAATTTCCAACAAATTAATCTTAATATTTGGAATCATTAAAATTTTGGAATATTAATTTTGAAATGCAATTTTAATGTAACTGATTGTAGAAGAATATAAAAGTTTATTCTTTTAAAAATACATTTCTTTTCTTCTATATGTTTCCAATCTTTTTCTGCAATTAACTAAAAAATGAGACTTTACTTATGTTGCGGTAGTAGCAAATGAGTGAGATAAGTTATACATTTCTCAATATATCTACATTATGTTTCACGTACCATCAGTATAATCCATATTCATTTCTCCTATATAAGGCTCAGCAAGAGGTGGTCTATATCCAACCGTTCTCGTAGAAGGTTGCATATAATTGGTTGGCATATTAGATGGTAACACATGCTGCATCAAAGACGGCATTTTATTCGTCGACAAGGACAATCTACCATTTCGACCAGTCTTGCGTGAAATGCCTGAAAGCTGAGTATCTATCTTCTTGTAATGAGACGCACGAATCTTGTCTAGCTTAAGTCGTGCATCGCTCTGCTTTGCTATCTCGGCGAGCTTGTCTCTGGCGTCGGTCAGCTTCTCTCGGTTCTTCTGTATTATTTTAAATCGTGCATCCCTGATCACCTGTGAGCCACGTCCCCTCATAGAACCGTTTGCTCGTGCTCCTCTGTTGGGGACACCCCTGCGTATCCTGTACAATTACACAATGAAAATTGTCTGACTTTTTTTATTACAGTAATGAAAGATAATATTGAGGAAAAATTAACGAACGTGTCTTCTTACATGACTTCTTCAGAAATCGCGGAGCAAGTTTTTATCAACCAAGCCAGATATGATACTGTGGTATCATTAAAGGGAACAATCAAGTAGATTTTGCTCCAAATTTCCGAGCTATTCACAGCTGCGAATAATTTACTCGCGCATGCCAGTTTATTCGAGTGACTTCACGGAAACGGGATTATCAACTAAAAATATCTGAAGAAAATTTAAGAAAAAATTTTCACCATACACACAGACTTTTGTCAATAAAAGAAAGCACGATCGTCAAGGTTATAAATATGTAACTCTCGCTATGAAGTTGGCGAAAATTCCACTGGATAATTAAGTGAATTTGCCTCACCCTCCTCTGCCTCTCATTCCTAATGATTTCTTTTTAATTATATCGTCCAGGCTTAGGCTCGTATCAGCCATAACGAAACAATTACAGATCACAGTACGCGAAGTACAAGGCGGTACAGCCACTCGAGTCTCGAAACCAAACCAACCGAATTTGAAGGACTGTAATTTCGGAATATGTCTAGTGACACGTTGCCGGAAATGCCATTGGACGCGGACTTAGGGAATTTTTAGAAACATTTCGCGCGCACAAAGCAGTGATGTTTATAAAATAACGAATGGTATGTCGTTAAAGATAATTGGCTTTATAAAATGCGATACTTTGTCGTGCTTTGTTATAAAGATGCAAAAATAATCAAATAATCACAAGATAGCGTAAATAAGCTATCTTTCCAAACTCTTAAGTTCGGAAACATAGTAGTAAGCTTTAAATCGTAAAATATTGACCAATCACAGATGAATATAAGAAGAATAATTGACTATGATTGGTTGATTTCTTATGACATTGGGTGCGGTCAAGTTGCCGCTACGAATGCTTCGAAGCATTTTTTGATTGGTTAATTAGTAAAAAAAATTCTTTCTTCTGATTGGTTAATCAAATACATCGAAGTATTCGTAATGGCAACTCGATCACATCCTTAAGCGTATCAAAAAATTTTTGATGATTTTCGCGGTTTCTGATAGGTCAAAATCTGTATTGCATGTGTTTTTTATTGTGCATCAGGTTTTAGGGACTGCGCAGAATAAGAGAAGGGAGGGAGGGGGATAAGGAAAAAAAATATTTCTAACTTCAAAAACAATAAGTCTGTCGCGTTGCTTGCACTCAGTATCTTTACTTTCTCTTTTTTCAACGCTTAAATATATATCTATCTCATTTTAAACATTTTGAGGATTTCAAGCAAGGTGAACAGACCTCAGTTGTATAGAACACAGTTTCTGATAGATTGAAATTTTTCTCTGTTTTCCTAATTTCCTCCTTATTTCTCTGATTGAGCGAAGTCCCTAAAAATATCTGGCGAAAAGTCACAATATGAAATTTTAACGATTTTCGCGCGTGTTGTGATTCTGTAGCTAAAGTTTATTTTTAAATCAAATGGACATAATAACATGAACAATAGCGATATGAATCGCGATATTCGTACCATAAATTCCATGATAAATTCTTTAACGAAACAGTTTCTCTGCTGTACTGCATTACTTAAGATAGATTTTATAGTACGTACATCAATTTTATTATATACTTACACAACCTGTTACCATATTTTGTAATTACATAGCGAAAATTTGGTACTATAAAAGGAATGTTTTGCAGGTATTGAAGGAATACAAAACTTACGATCTCAAATTAGATATCCAAAAACAAATTTTGAATAATACGATAGATAACGACTTAATTAAGCGATATCCAATAAAAACCTCATATCAAAAAGCATTTTTGAAATTACTTATGCAAAAGGTATATTTAAAATATCAAATATGTAATTTGTTTTCACAGAGGTTAGAGAACAGAATCACTTTCCTTATTTGTTATTATATGCAATTTAGATAGAGGAAGGTGGTAATGAAATTCATGATGACTTATATGCAGCATATTGTAGATTAATATCATTGTCAGATGAAGAATCTGTGCATTATCGTCATTTCTTAATACAAAATGGAACATTAAATTGCATTACATTAAAGGAGAGCACGAACTTGATTTCTCAAGGAACTACAGGCTTATGTAGCTGGCAGGTACTTATCTTTTAAAATATCTCTTTATAATTTCTTTAAATTATTTAGGAAATATTCTTAAGAATTAAATCATATATATGTTTATATTAGTTGCAATTATTATAATTGATAGGGTGCCATAGTATTGAGTCAATGGTGTGCGGAAAACAAAGAACAGTTTTGTGGAAAAAATATATTAGAACTTGGCTGTGGAGTTGGATTGACTGGTATGAATGTAATTAGTATATGTTCCCCGAAACAATATATTTTCTCCGACTGCCATCCAACAGTATTAAATATGCTCTGTGAGAATGTAAAACTCAATTTTGTATCAAATAAGCAAAGCGACCTATTGAATACATCTGATATGACGTCAAAGCTACAGTTGCAATTAAAATACAAGCAAATTGATGTTCAAGTAATAGATTTGAAATGGGAGAATATCAATGAATACATATTAGAAAATTCATTACAACCCGACATAATTATTGCCGCTGATATTCTGTATGACAGTAACTCATTTGGTGCATTAACATTGGGATTAAAACGCCTCTTAGCATCAAACAATTATGCTATTTTCGCTGCAACAATTCGTAATGAAGACACTGTTTCACAGTTTTTGGAACATTTAGGTATATTTTTATTGTAATTTATGTTTAATTAAAAAAACAGAGATGATTTAAATGCCAAAAAATTAAATTTTTGTTTTAGAAAATTATGATCTTGCTTTTGAAGAATCCAGTTTGCCACGATGGGCTACATCGATAGAATTGATTTACGCGCCTGTTCGGATATTGAAGATTTTTCAGAAGATTTGACAAAAGTACTGTGATATTGCTAATTTATCTGTAATTAGACAAATAATTTATTTAATTACAAATAACACAATTAGGAAACAGTTAGGAGCAATTAAATGGGAGATTTTATTAATAATCTTAGCATAAATTCCTATATATATAAATAACAGGTGTTAAAAATATATATAAAAGTATTAAATATGAAATATTTTCTACATCTATCGTAATCGTTAACTGTTAACACTATCGCAACTCAAAACCATTTTCTTTTGCCATGGCGTTTGAGTTTCACCTCAGTCTCATCCACATCCTTGTCGGCATCTTTTTTTGTGGCCTTTTTCAACTTCTTTTCTTTTACTTTCTCCTTTGTTTTTCCTTTTTTCGTTTTCTCTGCATTAGAAGAATCGTTGCCTTTGTTTGCTAGCTCGTTTTTATTTCTCGCTGAAAGATGAATGGCAATTTAAATGAGAGCTTATAAAAAATTGTATTAATTTTGTATTAATATATCTATCGTCACATTACTTACCAGCGAATAAACCCATATGTTTATTTATGCTTTTATCCTCTTCTACTTCTCTTCGACGATCCATTTCTAAGCATTCGACAATTTCATTTCTCCTCTCTACAATTTCTACTAACCTAGAGAAATATAAAAATATGTAACATCACATATTTATATTAACATTGCTCTATTAACATTTTATTAAAGTATTTTTTTTTCAAAAATACCTTTGTATCAATGCTTCTTCTCTTTGTTTATCGAAATCCGTTTTAGTAGCTTCTGGTTGGCACATGAGACATCGTATTTGATATTCTACTTCAACATGTTCCTCTTCTAATCTTTGTTGCCTCCGTAGTAACATCAATTCAGCCTGTCTTCTGAATAGTTCATTTTTTTCATTTACTAATGCGAATAATTCTAAAACCAATTCCTCCACATCTGTACCGAGCGATGAATCTATCAATTAAATTAAATGATAATTATATATTTTTATAATACATTGTTCTCATATTTATTATGTGCGTTCCTTACCGTCTGTTCGAGGTCCGGATTCACATTTATCTCGTATCAACTGTTCCAATCGCACGCCTTGTCTTTCTAAGCCTTGCTGTTGCAATTCTATTTCATCTAATTCCAATTTCACGTCTTTCATAGAGATTACTTTAATCTGTAATTTAAAAAAATATAATCTCTCTTATTTACGCCTTTAAAAATTTAATTTAATTATCAGAAATTTTTGAATTTTAATATTCAAAAATTTACGCGAAAAAATCTATACAAAGTTATGTAACAAATCTTACAATAGAAGATAGTATCTACCTTTCTTCTATGTGGAATTGGACGCGGTGGGGCGGGGCCCTTTTTCCTCTTCCACTTTCCTTGCACGCTTTTGTCAGTATAAGACATATAAGAGGAACTATCAGTGCACGAGATACTGCTCAAACTCTGCCTGTTTCGATTCGCCTCGTCTTTGTTTGTCTTCTGATCTTCCCACATATTCAAATTACGATCATCGTCACGAAGTTTGATTATGGGAGACTCATCTAAACTTAATCCTTTGCCGATCGATATATTACGAGGTGTGCTGGTTGGCATTGGCGGTGGAGGAGCCGGCTTGGTTTTTCGAGCTCGTGGCGTTGTGCGAGGTGATGAATCCTTTATCGCGAGAGAGAATCGAATAATAAATGCTTTTTTTGAGATTTATAATAGTGTATATGTTTTATAATGTACACACACACACACACACACACACACACACACACACACACACACACACACACACACACACCACAATAAATTTTTTAGTGTAAATCTAAGATTATTGACTAAAAATAATTAAATTTAAAAATAGAAACGATCATCTTACGTGATACGACGGTAATGTGCTATTATGCGATTTGAGTATAGGCGATTGCTGATTAGACGGAAACAATTCTTTTGCGACTGGTGGTTGCGGCGCAGGTTTTTTCTTCCTATATGTTCCACCGGGAGTTATAGTTGATTCGGAGCTGGTTAAGGAACTATTAGATGCGTACAAGCCTCCACGATCTAAGTCGACTCTCCGTACAACATTTACTTCGGGAGTAGTCCTGTGCATATATAATAATAAAAAAAATTATCACAATACTTTTGCACATTCATTTGTTGAAATAAAATAAAACATACTTAATGGTACGCGGTTTCGGTATAGGCACATTTCCAGATGGCGTTCTATCTCGGTTTTCCTCGTCGCTACCGTGTTCCTCTTCTTCGTCGCTCCAGAATGGATTAAGATTAATTTGTGGCGCCGCGAGGACCCGCTTTGTCACAGACGTTCCTCGATTCTCCGGTTTATTTCTTATCGCCGGTTTTGGCGGTTCTGGCTCTTCGATATCCTTATTTTCACTGTCGAATGGATTAGTCGACACTTTATTGCTTTTAGAGCTGTTTATCACAGTCCGTGGTTTACCCTTCTCTGCGTTATCTTCTTCGTCGCTCTTGAAGGGATTCAAGTCTTCTGGATAATTCTCATTGTCACTTAAATTGATGCCTTTCGCGGTTAGCACTCTGCTTCCCATGGCATTCTCGTAATGCTCTTCATCCATCTTATTGTTTTCGATTCGTTCATTCTCAATCTTCGTAAAGTTGTCTTTTCGTTTTTCAATACTTCGAACTTTTGCGCTATCCTCTTGCGGTTTATCTTTATTAAGACGATCTTCGTTATTCACTCGTACAAAGTCTTTAGAAAAGTTCTCCTCGTTATTTGTAATCTTCGAGTCTTCTTTTTGCTGTTTGCCGACATCCTCGAAACTGTCTTTATGTTTATCAGTATTTTTAATTATTGAGTCTTCCTCGAGCCTCTTTTCCGGTCGTTCTTCCTCATTCATTGGGAGAACATCCGGTGACAGGTCCCAGGAGTCGCCTTGAACCATTGTGATATCCTGAGCCACTGGATTTCTTTTGTTACTTTGATCCGTTCTATCGACGTGATCCCTTTTGTCCCGATTCTCAAACATTTGAAGTCTCTTCTGAACCAATGACAATCTTGTTTCGGGATTGGCACGTTCACCGGCGCATCCTGGCGACTCTTTGGTATTATCCTCTTTTCTCTGCTTACCTATGTCATGGAATGAAATGGCAGTCGATCGCTGATCCTTGTCGCTCCTAATATCTAAGCTATTTAACGCGCTATGTACATCGTATCGCTCAATGTTGGACTCCTCCATATCTGGGGAATCCGTTACGGAGCTGTGGGATTCCTCCTCTTCCTCCTCCTCCTCTTCCTCCTCCTCCTCGTTCTCGTCGTCGTCTGGGAATGCCGAGTCGATCCTGCTATTTGTTTCCTGACGATGATCCAAGTCGCTTTTCGTGCTCGCGAATGTATCCTTTACGGTAGACTCGAACTTCTCGGAAAGAAGATGACTGGTCATGAAGCTCTTGCGCATTTGCGACGTATGAGAAATCAAATCAGGTACCGCTGCGTTCTCCAGTACACTCTGCACACAACAAAGCTTCAAACAATTAGCTTTTTTTCAGCGCGAATACTTATTCAAATTTAAAACATAAAAACTGACCTTTCTTTCCGTTTTCTCCTCGTCGCTAAGCGATCTCGGTTCATTTTTCTCTCTTTCCGTGTCGGACATCGTTGACTCGGCGTACTTGTGGTGCACGCTATCAGTCTCCTCTTCGTCCGGACACGTCTCGCAGCAGTACTGGCCTTCCTCGGTCTCGTAGTAATTGCCCGGCGTCAGCTGGTTACAGCAGCGGGCGCACCGGAAGCAGGTACGGTGATAAGGAGCGCGCGCTATCAGCAGCTTCTCCGCCAGGAAGACCGGTAACCCGCATGCGGCGCACGGATCTCTCCGCATCCCCAGACGCGACCCCACCTATGTTATCAGGTCGAACACATCGAGACATTGTTATTTTTCTTTTGTCTATTATTTTTAGCATAGTAAGGTGCGCATGATTTTATGCCATCACCACTATCACTACCATCACCCATTTAATCAGAGACTTGAACAATCACTTTATAAATTAGTTAATTAGTTTTTGCGTATGCTCATAATTACTATGAAATTAAAGCGATATTGTCATAAATTGTTAAAATGTATGAATTTTTACATGGCGTAAAATTTGACGACATCATTCTATTGCGGAAATCGTTTTTCTCTGTCGATCGGAAAAGCGTACAGCTGGAGATAAATATTGGCAAATTGTAGGTCGCGCATTTGTAACGAGCCATTGGATATCGAGCTACTTGTGTGTCGGGTCTTTTACATAGCTAGCGAATTTCCACAATAGCGGCCATACATCTCTTGTATTATCGTTGTATATATCTAGTGTCCGGTGAATCCAATAATAATGCATCGGATCAGTGTGTGACTTCTATACAGAGCGTGTTACGTTACGTATATCATGCAGCTGTAATAATGAGAACGTTTGCTTTACGAAGGGGATAAGAAAAGAATGGCGTCAAATCTTTGTCGCGGAAAAATGAAATGCGCATCGGAAACTGGGATTGAAAAAGATGGTGATTGCGTGTCGAATATTCTTTCTAGAATTCCCTTTTGAACTTGCGAAGTATTGACGTAAGGACAGAAAGATTCTGCGAAATTCTTTGTGCTAGAAACATTCGGAGGTACATATATTGAATGATTTTTACGATATTTCAATATACAGACATTTTATTGAGCACTATTTTGATATTATATGACAGAAATATTGATTCAATATATAATGTAAAAGATCTAAAGAAATCTCTCTCTCTCTCTCTCTTTTTCTTTCTCTCTCCTTATATATAGATGTAATTATGAAGAATTTATTACCGATTTATTTATTATGCATAGATAATATATGTATAGATAAGACTCGTGAAGAAGAACTGATTTAATTAAAAAGCGACGAATTATAATCGACCTACACAGTAAAAAACATTTCGTGTTTATATTAAACGAATACTTGTTAAAATTTTTAAGTTGAATTTTTAACATATCCGAATTTTAATTTAACATAATGTGATTATGTTATTTAAATATTTTGTATTAAATTCAAATTTAACATTTCTCAGTGTTAAAATAACACAATTTATTATATAAGTAAGTAAATAAATAACATAAAAATAATGTAGTTTTAAAACATAAATTCTAAGAATAAATGAATAAAACGTATGTGTTGATTTAAAATATTATAAATGTTAATTTTACTGAGGAAATATGTTCTGTACAGTTTTATATTTTATATGTAAAAAGGTACAGATTATGTTATTTTCTATTTGTAACAGTATCTATTAAATTAAATCTATACATATGTTAAATATCACAAAGGCATTGTTTAAATTAAAATGTAAAAATAGCACCTAATTTCAGGTAAATTTAACATTATAAATGTGTCAATTTAACATAACATTTATTTAAATTGTGTCAAAGTATTACGCTTCTTGTGTTAATTTTTTTTTACATAATATTTGTGTTACTTTGTAACATATTCATCTTATATTAAATTAACACAAAAATTTTGGATGGACAGTACATATAAAAAATGTCTCAAAAAATTAAATTTAATACAAAATTGTTTTACTGTATACGTATTGTATCTTCGAGTATCTTTCGTCGCGTCATACTTTCGTGAGGATTGAAGTCCGTATGCTAATTCTTCTCGCTGTAGAATTGCACGGATGATAGGTTGCTAACCGCAAGATCGATCTTCCATTAAACTTTCATCGACGCCACGTGCATGAGTTTTCCATAGGCGGTTAAATAAAGCGGCGATCGATTGCGGGTTAGTACAACAAAAAAAATTCGCTTCACGACTTTATCGCTTTCTATTCATTATTATTTAAATAAACATTGCGTTATCGTAGATATATCCAATTACCATAAATACATTATTAAACGTAACGTTATAGCAAGCTTATCGAGTATTGATAAATGTACAAGTGCATTCGTAAAATGATTAATCGCGACTATTTAAGAATGAAATGCATCGGAAAAACTGCTGTTACCGAAACACTGATCACAGCATCTTACATCGAGGATTTCGCAACGGTATAAATATCGCGTTCAAGTATCGATTTTCGAGCGTTAAGCGCGTGATTAATTAATTTGACCGGTGATAAGCGTAACGTTATTATGTGTAAGCATGTTTGCTCTTAGCCGATGTGATACTGTCGACGATGTGTCGTTTGTGGCTTCGTTGAAAATCCCAAGTGTTCCTTTC